ACACACACACACACACACACACACACACACACACACACACACACACACACACACACACACACATCAATTTTAGTATACATTTATACATATATATATATATATATATAGTGTGTTTAGTGTATACATTCACAATTAGCTATTTTTTTAAATAATAGTTAAAAAAGTTTTTTTTAATAAAAAAAAGTTATTTTGTTTAAGAAGTTTCATATAATGACTTAAAAGTTTTAAATTACTTTTTTAATAAACACTTATTGAAGATATTTTTTATTCCCGCTCATATTTGAAAGCTACAAAAATGATAATATCTCTGAACATACAGACTTTACAGTCACATATTTTAGAATATTAAAGAAATATCTACATAATATATTTCTGACTTTAAATGATTTTAACCGCGTTTTAAACTCATCAAGAATAAATATTCCACATTCAAGCATATATTTCTTTCTTTTACTTCTAAATAAGGAAATAGTAATAAATTGAATAGGAATAAATGATGTAGTTAAGATTACGAGAAATTGAATAGAAATTAAGTATATAATTTTTATCAATAATCGCGTATAATTTTAATGAATCTTGATGCGCAACTTGATCGTTTTCATGAATGAATGTGCAGGATCCGGAAGTGGCCGAGGCCTTCAAGGAGATCTCCACGAATCCGACGAATATCCTCAAATACCAGAACAATCCCAAGGTAATGGCCTTTATCAATAAGATGGCTTCGAAATTCGGCGGTGCTGGCGGTATGCCTGGCGCTGCCGGGATGAATTTCCCGGGCGGTATGCCCGGTTTTCCCGGTGCTGGGGCTGGTCGTTTTAATCCCCCGAAACCGTCTCCTCATGACGATGTTGGTCTCGACTAATCGTGATTTAATCACTGTACAATGAATGCGGAGAGCGTACCATCTCGATTAGTTGACTCATTAAAGGCTGATTTATGTTAACTTTCCTTTAACATTGCGATGAGTGCTAAGAAAGAATTTATATTGGAAAGAACTGATAATTTATAAGGGATCTTTTAAACATAAGATTAATGTTAGCATGCGTTAGCAGGATCCCGAAGATTCTGTATTCATGTTGCTGTTACTTTTCTGAATAATCTCCAGTCTGATTTTGCATTACTTGTCTCACTTAGATTTCTGGTAATTATATTTCTGTACTACTTTTAAAGTTATAATATAGAATTTTTATTAAAGATGCATTATTTCGAGAATAAAATGGATGCCTTTAATGAGTTAAAAAAATGCTAGCATTTGTTTATCTCTTGCTCCATATATAAAAATATATACATATATATATATGTGTTTGTGTGTGTGTTGTGTGTATGTATATGTATAAATATAAGACCAGATAGACATATACAGGGTGAAGAAAAAATCTCGGACCAGTGAAATATCTCAAAAATGTTTTATTTTCGAGATATTTCATCGATCCGGACTTTTTCCTTACCTCATACACACACAAACAACATGCATCAGTGATATATCTACATCACTTCGAAGAAACTTTTACTGTGAATCAATATAGTTTGTTACATATTACAAAGCGCTCTTTGGTTTTTTAAAAAATGAATTTATTATGTGTATGTTGCATTTCATTACCTTTAATGCCCCTGTATCGTACTACGTTAGCCTTATCAAACAATTTCTCAGATAAGTATGTTTTCGTGCCATAAACAGGTCAAATACATTCGATTCGCAAAATCGATGTAACAGATGTAAGTATTCTTTTTTATTCTATTATATCTACGTATAATTGTTGAAATTTAATTTTTAACATTTATCTTGCTTAATATTTCTATATCAGTGGCATTAATAATATTATTTAACCATTGTTAATAATATTATTTAGCCATTGTTAACAATATAATTAATCGCCATCGAATTTATTAATCGCAAGAAAAATAGAAAATTTAGCAAACTACACATTAAATTATTTAACACTAAAACGACACGCTGGGTATGATGCATTTTTTTTCAAAGGTTGGTATTTATATATATAATTTTGAAAATTGACTAATCTACCTGGCAGAGTTGAACATGTTAAGTTACCCTTTTTTTTGTAAAGAACAACAAATTTTTAAATAAGTATGATGGAAAATTCATATTGGGATTTAATTTGTGATTTTACTACTATATTTCGGTCTGCATTTCAAGACCGAAGAATCAATTCGGCGCGCAATTTAAAACGACTACATAGATAGTATATAAATTCACATCGAATCATTTAAGCATCTAAGATTCAGTCAGTTTGACTGTTAAAAGCTTTTATTCCTTATTAGTTGTATATTCGCATTGATAGTCCTCAAACAAAAGAAATCTTTTGTTTAATATCGTAAAAAATGATTTTTAAAAATTGCTGTTTTCTTTTGTTAGTATACCTTTTTTAATTAATTAATAAAGTTATATACATTTGCTTGTTACTGTCATGTCCCTTAATGTCTGACATATCCATTGAAAAAAATTTGTTATGGGGTATGTTCATTTTTATGAAAGTTGTTAGGAACTAAAATTGAATTATAGGTATGTCATACCCAATGTGTCATTTCCATGACAAAACGTGTCGTTTTAGAGTTAAAACCGATTAATATGTTTCGCGACTTAAAGAGGATTAACTAAATCGGCACTGCCTTGCTATTTGTTCGTCCAAAAAATGCAATATATCTGTACGTTGATAAAGTGAAGCATTAGACACGAAATAACGAGTTATTTGTTCGTACGCGAAATAAATATAAACTGTTGAATACTTATAAGGTAACAAAATAATGCGACCTAACTTTCTAACTAGACACCGCAGCAGAACTCCATTTATCACGATCATATTTTAAGAGAGAAACTTCTCGAATTAAGCGTTTACTAAAAATCTTATAAAATGTAATAGTCATTAGAGATGGTGTTCTTTTACTTTGTCGCAATTAATAATCTGAAAATATCTGTTTGCGAACAAATAATCTTAATTATCTTAAGAATATAAACTTTAAGATTTTAAAAACTATCTTGAATATTTTTTTATTCGATTAAAATGAATACTAGCTGTGTATTTATTAATGGTAAAACTTGCATAACTCGTTAACAGTAGATCGAATAGTTTGCTATATGAGTAATTATATATTTTATATATATATATATCCGTTTTATTATATACATATAAAGTATATAATTATAGATTATAATAAGATTACTTCAAGATACATGCATGTCTAACTTTGATTATGTATCGATACGATCTTCTTTTTAAAGTAATGTATGGAAACGATGCTAGGATGAGGGGAAAACCTATTATAAGAAATTTTATTACTTTTCTTAGATTATATCCAACAATAAATAAGAGTCTTACCTCTAAATAGATGTAACAAACGGAGTTCTATTGAGAATTCTTCTACTGAGAATTCTGTTTCGTGTGTTATCGTGTCAGATCCATATATAAAATGTTTGCAATAAATATGTACAAAAATATACGCTCGCGAATATAATAATTACAACTCTTTCAGCATTAATTAATAAGGTACAAAGCATTGCACCGCTCATCGTTCTCACGAATGCGATGTAATCCTGATGGCTCTCGCGATAGAGACGACGGAATGTATCGTCGTCGTTGTCGTCTACGACGCACGTCTATAACGATCATTTGTACATTATTTATAGCGTGAACTTAAAATCTAGAAATATTGCACGTGAAATTGAACGGTATATCGCATTCTCAGAGGTCATTGCAAAAGAGCATTCTATTTCAGATAAAATTAGATAAAAATTAGATAAAATTAAGTCTCGTTATTGGAGCAATAAATATGATTCACCACGAGTTCAAATTTTTTTCTTAGAATATCTTCCACATTTTTTATAAAAATAACCTGTCATAATTGTGCAGAGGCAAATGACGCATTAAATGTATCGAATTTATATCGTGTGTAAATTATCAAGTTAAATATTAAAATGCTTAAAGCAATTTATAATAGGCAATATCATAATTATGGAATTATTTTATTTTGAATTATATAGAGTTTACTAGAAAAAAACTTTACAATATGACAACAGTACGATCATAAATTTGAAATTAACATGCACTTATTTCTTAATAACAATTAAGCCTCAAATAATATAAAATTCTAAAAAAATTTTTGGGAAGATTAGATCTTCCAATCTTTTCAAGATTTTTTTTTAGATTTGTCCAAGGTATTCATTCGCTTTTCTTTGTTGCAATCGTATGTTGCGTTACGTTCTCCTAATTTTAAGCATATGCAAATTAGGGTGCCATGGCACTTTTCTGAAGGTCGA